CTCGGACATCATCATCGTCATCATCACCACCACCACCACCACCACCACCACCATTTCCTTATTTATTTATAAATGCAAACATTCTCCTTCATCCCTTCTCTCAGAGGTTGGACCACCACAATAAAAAGCATACAGAAAAGCATAAAATAACAGTAAACATTCAAAGATTTTAGGCATGCTTTTTATTTTTTTAATACATTACAGTATATACTGGATTCTGGATGGCCACTTTGCATTTATTGTATGTTTTGGAACTTCACTGCTCTTTTCGCATGTTTATCGACAGTGTCTCATTATAATAAAGAAATTACCTGGCATTACACCTAGTGACCACATAAGCATATAGCTTTCTAGTTTCCTTAGCAACAACAGAGCTGTGGTCTGCGATTTTCTTCTTTCAGAACATCTTTTCAACTTCCTAACCTAGCCAAAAGCTCCGGGATTTCCTTGCGATGTCTCATCCAATTACTAATCAGGTTAGATCATGTTTAGTTTTGCTTGAAATCAGTGAAGATTAAATAGGTCCTGCTACCTTCTATGGCTCAACATTATAAGGCACTCTCTGAAATTAAGTGACAGAGAATCCACAAATCCTTTATAAGCAAATCCATGATGATGTCAGAAGTGCTAGTCAACTGGTGCAGCTAGTCAGCTGTTTGATACATGGAAGGAGGGTGTAAACGGTGGTTTCCAGCAATTATACTAAAACACTGCCTACATAAGAGATGTTTGTACTCTGCACAGTGATGAGCAACAGCTACAATAAACTTATTGGCATCTAGAAAAAAATTATCAAGAAAAGACTTTGCAGCTTGCACCCTCTGGTACTGTATATCATTTCTATTAATGCCTAGATAGCATACTGCCTGAATATTATGGAAAATGTAGTCAGACACATATAAGAATTGGGGTTGATGTAGTCAAATGTAGCCAAGTAGAGGCAAGCAGATCTGAAAAGACAGATCTCTTTCTGCGTGCCTGTGTTGCTGTTGGCCATCTGTCTTCTTCCCTCATATTCATGCAAATATTTTGTTTTCATTTCATCCCATTCTAGCAAGGGGGCCATGTGACAGCCTTCCCAAACTTGAACTTCTAGGGTACAGGACCTAACATTTGATGGAAACATGATATTCTGAAAAACCAACAGATCATGCTGGCTGGGGAATTCTGGGAATTGAAGTCCATGCATCTTAAAGTTGTCAAGGTTGAGAAACACTGCACTAGGTGATTCTTGCCTACTGTTGATTCACTCTCTGCTTTCTTTCTGAGTACATGGAAGCATATCCCATATGACAATTTCTACCACAATCCACAAATCGCCCACCCCATATTTTCCTATTTGCCCAATTCAAGCAGTGGAAATTTGGGGAATCTTTTATCAGAGACTAGTTCTCTCCCTGCAGAACAGTAGAGTTCGCTCTGCAATTACTTTTCTGCTATAGATGAAAGGGCACTTCCCCATAGCCACCAACATCACCCAGTTTGACACCATCATGCTAGTGTTCCCAATTCTGTGTTCGTGAACCCAGCCAGTGTTCCCTTCAGAAAACTCATGCCAGCACTTCACCCCCACTTTTGTTCTTCCCATGCACATTTACTATTTGCAGCAAAGAAAAAGGGGGGAAAGTTCAACCAGGTATTGTTGGAGGAAGCAGCAAAACTACTCTTTAGGACAACTGGAAAGGATTGGGGGGACATGATGGTGGCAAGGTGCCATTCTCACTTGGCTATGAGAGAGACATAGACCGGACGCAGGATGAAATGGAAATTCCTCCAGTGGGAAGCTGCACGGCTTCATAGGAAATAATGCAGAAATATCTTGGCTTTTTCTCCTCCAGAGGAGTTGACAGGAACAGCTCTACTTTCCAAAGTCTTAGGCAAGCTCTGAAATTGTGGGGCTACAGGACATGATGCTGATCTTAGGCACCACAGATGCACACGGAAGAACCTAGAATTTCTTGTAGCTGTCCAGTGTCCAGAGGCACAGATCTGGGTGCTCAGCTCAGGTGAAAGGGCTCCACAGAGATAATAGGGGTCCCAGAGCCTCTGACCAGTATCCAATACCTCCTCAGGTCTGTACAGGAGCAGGCCTTTGTTCCTAGAACCTAAGTGTCAAATGGGACAATGAACCAGGCTCAACCAACAGTATTTTGATCTATAGAGGGTCATTAAATAACATGAGTGGGCCAGATTCACACAGGGACAACTGTTGGAAAAAGATCAAGGTCTAAACAGCCTCTTCTAAAATGCTGCAAAGAAGGGCACACAGGAGTCTGCCTAAAAGGACCCACATCAGCCACAAGCTACCCAATAACTCCCTCATAAGATCTGCGTCCCCATGTTAGTCACTGCCGAAGATGTTGAAGAAGAGGAAATCACTCAGTTGAATCTTTCTGGTCCAATCCCTTGCTCAGAAACCAACTTTATCTTTGAAAAGGGAACTTTTTTTAAAAAAATCATGTACTATTTGTGTTCTACTATAATTGGTACATTATTACTAGTTCTAGTCCTGCCTTAGGCATGAAAGCCGGCTGGGTGACTTTGGGCCAGTCCCTCTCTCTCAGCCCAACTCACCTCACAGGCTTGTTGTTGTGGGGAAAATAGGAGGGGGAAGGAGTATTAGGTATGTTTGCTGCCTTGAGTTATTTATAAAAATAATAAAAGCAGGATTAAAAAATCTAAAAACAAATATTAATTAGTAATCACTTTTTCTGTGTGCGCCTTTAAGTCAGTCCTCACTCCTGGTGATTACATAGAGAAGTCCCTGAAGTATTTTTGGCAACATTTTTTGAAATGACTCTCCTGGGGTTAAGAGAGAGTGACTGGCCCAAAGTCACCCAGCTGTCTTTGTGTCTAAGGTAGGACTAGAACTCATGGCCTCCTGGTTTCTAACCCAGTGCCTTAACCTCTGCACTCATCTGGCTCTGTAGTAATACATTTGTAATAAAGAAATAATTCCCTTGGAAAAAACTTTCATGGAGCAATTCTATAAATAAAATGAAATATAAAACAAATACATTTTTAAAAGCAGAATATAAGAATATATTGCAAAAGAATTGTTTATTGCTTCCATGTCTCTGATTCATCCCACTGCTTCTATCAAAATTCTGTGCTCATGTAATTCTGCATCAGGAAAAGTTGAATTCCATAACCAATATAAAATACATTTGAATGAACAACTTGCATGAACAAATAGAGGGGGAAGCAAGCAGAAGCTGCCCTCCCAAATTAATTCCCTGACTCCTAGCTTTCATTTTTCAAAAGCAAACAATAAATCATTATCCCTTATAAATTACAAGGTAGGTGGGAAATGGCAGGTCCTCTTTTGTCCAATTATTTGGTAGGAAAACCATCTGCTCCCATCTTTCAGTGTTATTTGGTCAATGAATAAAGTCAAAGCAATGATTGATATGCCTACTATTCACAGCAGTGTTTCTTAGCCTTGACCACTTGAGGATGTGTGGACTAGCTGGCTGGGGAATTCTGGGAGTTGAAGTCTACACAGCTTCAAATGGCCAAGGTTGAGAAACACTGATTTAGAGCTTCCAAATGCATTTAAGGCTTTTTTCCCCACTTTTCCTCCACATTGCTATTCCAGAGTAATCCCAAAATCTAGGATTTTAATGAGCCTATAATTGTACTGTGCTGTTTCTACAAAAAAAACAAGATAAAGTCTTCCTCTTCCTGCTATATCTAACTAAAATGTAATGTCACAGGAAAAAAAAAAGATTTCTGTTTTCCTGTTGGCAAACATTTTATTATTCCCCAATGCAATGCGTCCATCATTATTCAGAATATTACAGAGATCATGGATTACATTAACTTGACCAAATAACCCACAATTGTTAGGACCAATGTGTGGAGAGAAAACAGTTCACTCTCCCAACCTTGTATTCCAATCTTGCTGGCCTTATAAGCCGGACCATTGAGAAGAAGGAGATGCAGATATCTGCATATGGAAAGAAGAATAAAATGTAGCTACCAATTTTTTTTTAGTTCAGTAAACTAAGACTATTTGGGGAGGCTGTTTGCCTCTCTGGAAATCTAATGTGGGGCAGTGTATTTTAGCTGTATACATCTGCCTATGCTTACCCTATATATTTCTAAATATATGCAAATATTACAAAATGCTGTGCTGTCTTCTTCCCAAAGAAAACCAACTCTGCGCTTAGAAAAGTAAGTTAGGCTTAAATACTCTTGTCAGAGCATAATGCCTGTTCACAGCGGATTCAGAACAGCTCCCTGCTATTTTTTTTTTTAATAGAAAACTTCCAATAGCAGAAAATATATGTAGCTCTGGGTTAAACTGTGGAGTTCTTCGTATTCTCTGAGCTTGGTTGTTTTTCTGCAGACGTTTCATTACTGGGCTAGGTAATGTCTGCAGATAACACCAAAAATGCAAGAGAAACCTTCCTTTTGCAAGAGTTCACTTTCTTTTTAATTCAGGCTGTCAAACAGAAACCTCATTTCCTGCTACTCATCATTCAAAACATAACCCTATTGCTTAATTAGAGTGAAATGGGGAAAATCTACTTCTTAGGCAGGAAATAAGGAGCAACTCCAATCTAGAATACGTTTTCGGTTCATAAAGAAAGAATGCGCAGAATCAGGCCGTGGCATAATTCACACAACAAGCCTAGTCCAATAGCTCTTTAAGCAATGTTTTCCCTTCCCCTCCCACTGCTGTTGCCTGTTCACCTTTTCCTGCTGTTTCCTGATGCTTGCCAACAGCCCCCTTCCCCAAACGTCAGAGATAATGCTATGCAGCAATGTTATTCATTAATCTTTTTCGCAGTGCAACCAGAGGAGAACTTGGCCATGAACGAGAGAGGAGCAGCAGAACCTGCCTCTCTGGCTTGCCAGATGTAAACACAGGTGGCTTTCGGGGGAATGGTGGATTGGTTCCACCATTTACACCTTCTAATGGAGGTCCCCTCTTAGAATCCAAAGGGACAGAAGCCAGTGCACCTCCCCACCTCCACAAGTATGGTCTCTCTTACCTCCAGGGATGCAAGGTCAAAGGACTACAGGGACTGCAAGGGCTGAGAAGGGTCGGGCTCTGGCTACCGGGTGACAAACTGCAAAGGAAGAGAGGCAACCAAAGGAAGGGTGGGTGAATAATGTGAAGCAGTGTCCCAGCAGTGATTGTCTTCTGACAGGGACGGGGCCCTTTCGGTCCCCCAAATTCCTTCTCAAGCTCTAAGCAATAAGGCCAACCCCAAACGCATTGCTATTGAGCATAAAGCAAGGTGGTACCCTCTCCCACTTCCAGAAGTCAAGTAAAATGTCTGCTTCATCTTCCTTCAACTTTGAAGTTCTGATAGCCTTTCCGCCACTCTTGAAGACAAGGTTCTTAGGGAGCAGAGGGAAGAGGGCCTACCAGATCAGCTTCCCCTTTCTGGACTTGCTACACTACTCAGAATCTGTACTTGCCTCATTTCCCCTATGGGTAAGACTAGCTCAAAAGCTTGAAAAGGATAGGGGAAGAGAGGGCTCAGATCTATAGCTGACCATCTTCATCCAGCACTGGAATGCCTCCTGATCCCCACTTCCCATAATGCTCCCTAGTTATACCAGAGGGAAGAAATCAAAAAGCAGATTTCATGAAGCCATTTGAGTCTGGCGTAATAAACAGCAAAGAAAGCTGAGTGGGCTAATGTTTGCTTGGAGTAAATGGCAGACTTAGCCAAAGGCCTTCCATCAGACAAAAACTGAGAGCAGGAACTTTGAACATGATTCTACGATCAAATCTCAGTTCCACCTTAGGGCAAAGCCTACAGTTTAGTGGTGGAATACAAGCTCACAACCTTTCATCTTCAAATAGGCAGAGAGAGGCCTTTTTCTGACGTGCTCAGACTCCAGAGAATTGTTCCTGCCAGTCTGAATATGCAGTCCTTGATTAGAGATACTTTGAATGGCTGAATTCACTCGCCATACTTAACTCTAATCTGGGTTAACGTGATGGAATGGAATTATGAAGGCCAGGCTCAGGGAAATAAGCATTTTCTTAGCTCGCCACAGGAGCATGGGAACTACAGGAGGATGAGGCTGGCATCTCCCTGAGGAATTCACGGTGTTGTGATTGGCTGACTTGGGACCTGGGGTTTCAGTCTGCGAAGATTCTTGCTAGAGGTTGTAGCTAATAAACATAGCTGAACTGATTTTGCATTGTCTCTTGGAGTTCCTTGGGTGATATAGCTACAACCTCTAGCTACAACCTCTAGCAAGAATCTTCCCAGACTGAAACCCCAT